AATGTTTATGCAGTTGCATATCTCTCATCAACATGTATCGACATATGAAGTTTGATGGTAAAAAAAAAGGTCATGGTAAAAATATTGATGCAGTTGAATTGCTTACGTCAGTATGTATCAGCATATGAAGTTTGATGCTAATTTAGGAAATGTGAGGTCAAAGGAAAGGTTAAGGTAAAAAATGTTGATGCAGTTGAATTGCTCTTATCAGTATGTAACAACATGTGAAATTTAATAAAAATATCTTGAATGGTATCTTTAAAACTGAGCTAAAGACTAATTAAAGATAAGTGAGGTCAAGGTCAAAGGAAAGGTCAAGGTTGAATAAAGGTCAAGGTAAAAAATGTTAATGCAGTTGAATTGCTTACAGCAGTATGTATCAGCATATGAAGTTTGACGCTGATTTGGGAAAAGTGAAGTCAAGGTCAACGTAAAGGTCAAGGTAAAAAATGTATACTAATTATACTTTTATTAACTGTCCTCAGATATACAATACGTTAACTTGTGATATATATATTATAAGAGATATTTAATACTTTTGCTTTCAATTTTTTATCCAGTGTGTGCTGACAATTTGTCCAATATCACCTTTAGAAAAAATCTCAGTATATATGATACCAATATTTACATGAGTAAAACAGGGAAAAAGTTATTGGATTACGGCATTCATGTGTTTTGAAAAACAAGAGGCCCATGGGCCACATCGAGGATCATCGATGATTTGAACAATTTAGAATCTACACTACTCCAGGATCCTTCCACATAAGTTTCAGCTTTTCTGGCCCAGTGGTTCTTGAGAAGAAGATTTTTTAATGACCAAACCCTACTTTTGTCTTTTCGTGAAAATTAAATCCTCCTGTGAGGGGATTTGGGCCTTCATTTTAACAATTTAAATTACCCATCACTCAAGGATGCTTTGTAGTAAGTTTGGTCAAACAGACAGACAGACGGAGAGACGATGGAAAAAATGTAATCAGAAAAGCTCAACTGAGCCTTCGGCTAAGGTGAGATAAAACATGATTTACTGTTATTGATTAAAATACAGTAATGTGTTCTGAAAGAAATTGATTTCCAGTAGTAAAGCAATTTAAACTCAATGTCTGTAGAAAACCCTGAAATGTGTTCTGCTCTCAATCAATTGTTACATTAATATTTCGAGAATTCCTACCTCTGTCTGTCTGGTGCATTGCCCTAAACTCTGCCTGGGTGTCCGGGAGAAAGGTCTCAGGGGGGGAGGCTGCAGGGGACTGAAGCCAAACATGCTTCCTAGGCTCCTCAAAGAACATCAGAGGGGCCTCTTCCATACGCTAAAATAGTATAAAAACATTTTATAGGGCTTCATTTATTTCAATGTATATATTTTATATATATTAAGACATATATTTGAACATAATTAGGTAAACATGATTTTATGATTTTTTTTTCTTAATAAATATTCCTTAGGGTAAAATTTTAACTTTCCATTGTGGCCGCACCCTATCACAGAAGGTCTTGAATTTACACTACCTAAGGATGCTTCTATATAAATATGACTAATTATGGCTTTGTTGTGTTTGGGAGGAAGACTTCTTAAAGATTTTCCAAACATATTCCTTTGTTAAACATGTAAAACTTTGATTGTCCATTTTGAATCTTTAACACTACCTTAGACCTTTCCTCAGAAGTTTCAACTTTTTTGGCACATTATATCTTAATTGAGAAGAACCCTGATTTTTAAAACATGCCAACAAAATTTCAGTATTTCTGAATTAACCCCCCCCCCTGAAAAAGGGTGTGGCCCTTTCGCAGCATTGTTAACGCAAGTGAGTTAAGGCTAAATATGGATATTTCTATGCAAATGAGCTAATAAAATTCATAAGTTCTATATTTCATGTACAGAGAAAGTTCAAATTGATTTTCATATACATACTTAGTACCCACAGTTTGTTAATGCAAGTGCACATAATGACCTCATTGTTCTCTCCTATTCAAGGTTATAAATCACAAGATTAGCATATCCACTGCTCTCTCGCACTATGAACATGCAGCCATCAACTGCGTTCATAGGACTATAGACGCATTTGCTCTATCTCACTCTTGTAGAACAAGCTCTACTACAGTTATTTACCGTGTTGAGAAGTATATATATGAAATGTTTCGTAAAAGGACTAAATATAAGTTTTTAATAATATTTTTTGGAAAAAAAGGAATTCAGAACAATTTAAAATTGCTGTGTATAATCTTTAAAAATTTAATTTTGGTCAATGTATTTAATTGTAATTTAAAACTTTTTAAAAATTGAATAGAACTCCATATTTTTATTTTTTTGTATCATGCATACTTGTACAAAGAACGATAACTCTTCACACTTGGGTAATACTGTGAAATCACAAATTTTCGTGGGGGTTTAATTTTCGTTGTTTTCGTGGTATGGTGAGACCCACGAATTCATGTCCACAACGAAATGTAAAAAGTCACACACATAAGTACTCATTCATTCTTGATCCACGAAATCAAATCCCCACGAACCAAGAGATTTTCCTCAAACCACGAAAATTTGACCCCACGAAAATATGTGATTTTACAGTAACATACAGAAAGAGAAAATCTCTTTAACTAGTAGATCTATATCTATTTCAAGAAAAAATAAATAGAAAAAGTACCAAAAAAATCACAGAAAAGCATACTAGAGTAATAATCATTATAAAATCATTCTCATTTTTATCATAGTTTTAAATAATTGATTTTTGTCAGAGGATTTCAATAACGTTGATCGATGACGTCCGACTGCATCAAAACAAAAATTAAGAGAATGTGATGACGGCGCTGCTTGTATCCAGATAACTGTGTTAGAGAGGGAAATACTTTTATAATTGTGATTTATTAGAGAAAAGGAGTATTGATCAGGTGTACTGATTTTAAAGCCGTATGTTTTTCTTTACTGAAGACAGAAGAAGCTACGTCCTTATGTAAGTCAGGATTTCCTCTGATATTCTTGACAACATCAAAAAATGCAAATATAAGTAATAAACAACGATTATTTAGTGAACAAGGCGTGATGAATAGCAATAGCTCTGCTGGCATATTTTCCATGATGCGCTAGCGCGCATCATGGAATATGCCAGCAGAGCAATTGCTATTCATAACGCCATGTTCACTAAATAACGTTGTTTATTTCTTAATTAACAAAATCACGTTGACGCAAAGGCATAATTCCTATCTAATCTAAAATAAACTATGTACCGGGTAAATATTAATTTCAAAAAATCTCACCGGAGTGCTTTTGAATTTGACATAATTTATTCTCATAAAAATATAAACTATTTTTGTACACGGGGCACAAGCTGTGTTAGACTGTTAATGTTTACCTCCGTCTCCTCTCTCAGTAGCCGCAGCTCCTCCTCGGCCGCCCGCAAGCTCTCATCTATCAAACGAAGCCTCTCCTCATCCCTACAATCACAAGTCCAGGATCAAACTCTGTCATTGTTTTATTTCTCATGTTGCTTGTGGGCAAATTTGAAATAAGGCAATTTGATAAATAAAAGTTCTTTTGGTTGTTTATTTCTGTTTAGAGAGAAATTTTTGCCCCTTTCACCTAATCCTCACATATTGGTAATTATAAACAGTTCCAAGAGTGAAAGGCAAAAAATGGATTACTCTACACTTCATATTTTAATTTTAATATTTGAGCCAGATTTGAAAGGAGTTTAAGACAGACGGATAGACATGAATAAATAACATGATAATTGCCCATGCAGTTCTCACACAGTAATATCATTTCTTGTTTAAGACAGGCATAGAATTATGTACATGATACTCATCTTTCTGCTAAAAATTAACACAATTATGCTGAATTTCCATAAACTTTATTAAACCATTAACCTGGTCATTCCTTTGCTAAAATTGCAGCATCTGAAACCTTGACTGGTACAATTAAACACATTAATGGAAAGAACTTATACAGGCTGTTGGCCTGCTGTTCAATACAATTCACTGTATACTTTTCTGTGTATTTTGAATAAAATACTTCTTACACTAAACTTAAACTAAACTAATTAAACACATTAGAAGCATCTTCCATGCATGTCTAATGACTATAGGACACAGAAGTACTTAAAAAGAAAACTGCTCCAAAAACTTAACCTTAACCTGGGACGTGGACACCGACGCCGAGGGTATCTCATAAGCTCCCCCAACTTCGTTGAAGTGAGAAAAAAATTGATTACTGCTTCATATTTAAGTTATGAGCCAGATATGATAAGAGTTAACAGAGAGTCACAAACAGATGGACATGAACACCATAACATTATATGTCCAGTCTTAAGACATAATATTATTTCCTGTCTAAAGACAAAGGTACCTGACACTCATCTATCTGCTAAAAATCAACTGACACAATTACACAGATTTTAAATGAACTTTCAAAATACCAATTTCTAAATCATACGTATATATTTAAGGAATTACTGTTTAGTTATTAGTTATAATACTAGTAAGCCAGAGCATCAACGATAGTGGGAAACATGAGATGAGCCTGTTATGCAATCAATTATCACAAGTTTCACACATCATTGACATTCTATACTAACTATTTAGACAGTGAATCCTTATATTTCCATTTCATTGTGATATCAAACTGTAGATTTAGATTTTAAAAATGTAGACAATAGATTTAAATTTCTCCCATGTAAATTTCAATTATATAGTCCTCATCCACTAGCGTCAAACATAAAGACAGCCGCACGAGATTTACATGCATATGTGACCTCCTTAACATCTGAGACACAAACACAGATGCGCACAAGATTCACGTGTGTATTAGGCCTCCTTGGTTCCTTACCAATCGATTTGTCTTATTTACATTACAGTGGAATTATCAAGAGATCAACTCCATTAACTAAGAGTTAATTTTCAAAGATAAAACAAATAGAAATGGAAATATTCACAAACTGACAGCTAATTGAACACCGTACCAAACCTTTTTTCAAATACATATCTCTTAAAAAGAAATTAAAAATCCAGTTTTCATTCAATCAATATGTGAACCTATTACAAAGTTTTTACTTACAGTTGTCCCTCTTCCATCAGTTCCTCAAACAGCTGGTCCTCCTCAGACGGGCTCCTCCTCCTCGAAGGAATACTGAAAAAACAGATAACAGTACAACCTCATTATCACACACACCAATATCTCAGATACAATGGATATGTCAAGGTGATGGGCTCCTCCTCCTCAGTATGGGCAACAGTTGTGAAGAAAATGAACAGACTGAACAGTACACAGCAGCAAAGCAATATACCCTCACATAAATTTGAAGCACCTACATTTTCATGTCAGTTTATAATCAAGTTATGCATATACAATGCTTTCATGACTTTGCTGTTAGAGAGAACAAATAGCTGGCTCTTTTTCTCAGAGAAAGAATCGTAATAAAAGCATACTGCCTGTCATATTTACCATTGGACACTTTTAAGGAAATACTGATAATTTCTCATGCATTTCCAGGGGTTTTGAACAGATAACAAATTATGAAAATTTTTGCATAATATTCAGAGAAATGAAAAAAAAATAACAAAACATAAATTCCCAATTTTTTCCTGTCAAAATTTATTTAAAGAGGTGTATAAATCCATATATGAGGGGTGATCAAACCATTCGCAAACTAATTGAATAACTTTCATAAAAGAAACAATATTTGGTTTCAGTGTTGATTATATATTTTAAATTAGTCCTCTCTCACATAGGCCACCGTACTGCTCATGGGCGAATCAAGTGATATAGGCGGTCACATGACCTGCTCCATAGCATTTTGTCACAAATGTTGAAAGATTCTTCTTAGTTTTATATTTCTTACATGTACCATGAAAGTTAGGCCATACCAATTTGTAAAATAGTTCTTCGGATTTTCAAAAATAAAAAGTGAGGCGAGCGAGTGAAATTTTTTTATAATTATTATTTTTTGTTTTGGGTTTCAAAATTATGAGGCGAGCGAATATAATTAATACATATAAAAATTCTCCAAACCGTTTCTCCCTGAACATAAATTTAAAAGTCCCGGCATTCTTAACATTACACATAATTTCTCATAAAACCGGCCACCCCTGAAAACCGGACACCGACCACTTTTCCAAGAAACGAAAGTTTATGAATTTTCCCCTGCATAATGATTGCAAGAAATTTAACTGAAATGAAAAAAAAAAATAACCTACCCACAAGTTGTCAAAGGTGTGAAAACATAAATTCCCATATTTTTTCCTGTAAAATTTTTTTAAAGAGGTGTATAAATCCATATATGAGTGTACATATGATCAAACCATTCAAACTAATTGAATTAATAAAATATCAAGCATAATAAATTTAAATCAGAAATATAAACTAAACAAATATTTGGCCATTTGCAGCGGCCTTAAAATTAAGCACTGTTAAATAATCTCTTAAATAAAATGTTTACCAAAATATACATTTCATGATTAAAATAACAGAAGTTTTGTTCAAGATGAATTATACTTTTAACTGAAGTACAAACTTTTTTTAATGACATAAGCGATCACATACACATGCATTCAGTTGTAAAGTGTCTGGTTTATTTCTTCTCATATGTTAATAAAGTAACTTTCAATCTTTTTTGTTTTTATTTTCTAATTTCTTCTTAATAAATCGACATGCATGTCGAATATATCCTCACTAATAATTTTTTTTTAAACCTTAAGAATTTTCGGATATTTCAAAAATAAAAAGTGAACAGAGCGAATTATATATTTTTCCAAGCATCTGTCACACAGTTCTACATTTTTTCAGTATGTTAGATTTCAAAATTCTAGGCCGGCCATTATAATTAATACATATACATATATGTATATACATATATTTTTCTTAATAAAGTGTGATTTCAAAGAGCGTGAACCAAAAAAAATAAAGATACCCGGTAGATATAATTTGCATACCACATGAACTTTATCATTCTTAACTTTTTGGGGATTTTTTTTAATAAATAAAAATGTGTCAATTAAATTTCACAGACTTTACTTTCATAAATGTAATGTTTTCAAACATCTCCTCTGCTTTCATTTCTATTGCTGTGTATGAAACAACTTTGTACCCATTGTTTTTAACTATAGTACACAGCGTTGTGCAATAAAAAAATCAAGTACTAGCCCACAGGCTAGTGACAGCTGCAAAGTTACTAGCCTAAATACAGGCCTGGGGCAAAAATTAAAATAAAACTAAATAATGTTGAAAAAGAAATTAATCGCTGATAAAAGTCAGGGTACTGAGGTCATTCTTTTTAAAGTCAAAGTTTAAATTCTCAATATCAAATTCAGTCATTTTTAAATTATTATGAAATAAAATTAAAATGAACTTCAATAAATAATATCTTCCCTTTCTCTGATCATTGCACTAGCTCATTTAGAATGAAAATAATTAAATTCATTTTGTTTTCATCTTAAATCCTTCAAAACAAAAGAAAATATATTTTATGTTAGTCACAAAACACTTATCTTTCAGTTGATTGAGTGATCGTAAATAATTTAAAGATATGTTATTGTAGCTGCATGTATTTACCATAAAAGGAGGAATAGAGGAAATTCGGATTAGGAAAAAACGATCGTTTTTGGAAGTACATAAGTCAGGTAGTTCTGCAAAACGGATAAGATTATGGAGATTTATTGACAGTAGGAGTATATATGTTGTCTGGAAAATATACACTGGTTGGGAATTTTATAGCCAAAAACGAGTGAAAATACCGGTTGTGCTTTTCATGTATTGCGTGTGTATATAGTAGACGGGCTACCTGACCTTGTAGAAAACCACTATCCCGACCCCCCAAAATGTTAGGCCCGGGCGTCAGGGGATGCTAAATTGAACACCCCTGGTACATATGAACAGTTAAACAGACATGGTGCAAAACTTCCCAAACTGCTTCAATCTCACTATAAATCCGGCCCGCGCATCTGTCATACAAGTTTCAAAGTTCTTGTGTGTTTGGTGAGAAAAATTATGTAGCCTAGTCAGGTTTTTTTGGAAGCGCGCGCGGACATTTTTTTTTTTATATTATAATTTGCATTTGTAATGAATAGAAGCGGCGAATCCGACGAACTATATTAGAAATTGGTATGGCCTTAATTTTAATTTTTATAACAAGAACAGTTTATTTGTCAGAAATGGACAAATCGCGGCAACAGAATGGGTGAATAAGAATATAAGACCTTTCCCAAAATAAGTGTGGTGACAATCAAAACCCGAATTCTCTGTCTCTGGAGAGTCGTTAATATTTTTACAACGTGGATAAAGTATGGGCACCTCTTTTTTTGTCATATCTATATATAATATCTTAAAAATCTCAAACAATATCTTAGGTATCTAATAATTATATTGTTGTTACTAATAGGATATTGAACTATTTTTTAAAGTGTAAATTGGACTCCGAGGTCTTTCATAACAAATTGCTTAATTAACAAGAGACCCACGGGCCTTAAAGATCACCTGAGTAATATGTAACAACTTTCCAACAATTGAATTTGGTTCTCATTTTAAACCAGAGACCATGATTGAAATTCACAATTTTGAAAGAGGCACCATTGCTTATCATAATTATACACTTAACATGCTTACTCTAGTTACTTAATACCAAGAGGTAGATCAGAGTAACAAAAAGAAAATGCACTTCCACTTTATAACCAGTTGTGCACTCCAACCCACAGGAACCACTGACCCTGGGGCCATATATTTCACAATTTTGGAAATTTTATCATATGAAATTTTATTTCATCATAAATGGTTAATTAATAACAAAGAGCAGATTTCAAAGCATTAATTTATTTTCAGACTATTTATTTTCAACCCCCCCCACCTAATACGCCTGACCCAGGGCATAAAAGTAATCATTTTGCTCGATGCACCTTTCTTCATTGTAAATATATATACTTATGCCCTGTTGACACGACAAGTTTAATTTGCAGTAAAATAATGCGAAGTAAACTAATGTGAATCAAACTAATACGAGTTAAATTGTGTTCACTGGACATCTAATGCAAAGTAAACTAATGTGAATTAAACTTTTACTTCGACAGTCAGGCGTGAGGAAGGCTATTATGACGTCATTTACAAGTCAAGTCACCTTATGCAGAAGCAGATGCATTTGACATAATGTCACAGTGTCTGGAGACATATTTTAGTTATTTGAACACATTTTTTCTTCAAGTTAGTTTTTCACTCAAAAATAACATGAGTACTTAAAGCTGACCACCAACATGACGCATTTGACTTAATTTTGCCATTACGCATGCCCCAAAATTTAATTTGAATTAGCTTTGCTTAGCGTTCACACGGAGCTAATGCGAAGTAATTTAATGCGCAGTAAACTAATGTGAAGTAAACTAATTCGCATTAAATTCTCCGTGTGAACGCTAAGCAAAGCTAATTCGCAATAAACTTGTGTTTAATTCGAATTAAACTCTCCGAGTGAACAGGGCATATGATCATTGGCATAATACCTAGGAGCAAAGGAAAAAGGTTTTTTAAGAATAAATATTTTTCACTAAATCATGCTATATAATAAAAAGCCTTCCCCTTACACCAAATGGCAAAGAACCCATGACCCAGGGGCCATGAAATTCACAAATTTGGCAGGGGTTCAATTTTTTTTTGTCATAGTCAAGTCCAGGACTTAAAGAGTAAATTTAAGGCAAGTCCAAGGAAGAAATTTCAGAGTCCATATTTACCTATACATCATTAAATTTATGTTACTTATAGCGAGCGCAGCGAATCGAGCTTAATAGACAACATGTATGAACAGAGGAAATTCGGATTGAAATCTGTACATACGTCAGCAAAATTTCTCTGATAAACATTCCCAGAATTCCTGCACTACCCAATGTCCTTTGCGCGAATAAATAAATAAATAAATAAATAATAACATAAAGCATAAAAGACTTTCAGTTTGCAGAAAACTTTCAAAGAAACAAAAAATAACTCTGCAATTTTTTTTCGATCAAAATTGCATTAGGTCTAAAGTTTCAACCAGATGCTCGGCTGTCTCCATAAGCTCGACGAGCTCCGTAACGTCGTGTGACGTCACAGCTAGTCGAGATGTCCATCTTGTGCGGCTTGACGTTTGAAGTGGCTGATCAATTTTTCAAGTG